TGCAGCCCATCTCCATCCTCTCCTGCCGCCTGCGGGCCCCCAGCCTTGCCCTCTCACTGTGCCACAGACCCACCCTGCGCCAGCAACAGAAGGCCGGGTTCCCAGACCAGAGAAGCCGCCGAGCACAACTCCAAACTACGTCTAGGGTCGCCTGAGCCGCGACCTTTAAGCTCCTTTGCTCCCTCAAGCAACGCAGGAGCCCTTACTCCAGGTGAGGAGTCCGGAGCGGCCTCCCGGACCAGAACTGGAGGCTGAAAACCCGGAAAGCTGGTTTAAAAAGAGGAGAGTTTGAGACCAAAGTAACTCTAAAGTTAAATGTGTGAGCCTTAAGGATCTGTCTCAGCGGGGAGGAAATTACAGTTGAAAAAGTGGAGTTTTAAGGGCGCCCAGGAGAGACCCGGTTTGGGTGAAAATAAACATGGAACATGGAACAGCTGCTTCTCTAAGGGAGAGTCAACCTCCTGGAAACATATAGCCTCATGTTTTCACGGTCTCGTTAAGCAGGTTTATTTCGATTTGTTTTCAAATATAAAATCAAGAAGTGTTGAAAGAAGGTCTCTGCCCATCGCCCTTTTGCAAGTATGAACTCCTGATCAAGTCCCTCTTTTCTACCCTCCCCTGTAATTTTGCTGTGTATTTTAGACAAGCCAACATCACATCACTTCGCTGTTAAATTCATAGATGCACTTTAGATTTTTCTCTTTTTTTGCGGTAACAGTCTGTGTATCCCAATAAATTCTCAGCCCGGCTTAACACCCACGATACACAATAAATTCTCAGTTGGCTCTGATGATGGAAGGCACACAATTTTGTTGTTTTGGTTTTTGTTTTTCTGTACTGGTTTTACTGAACTGTCCAGGTAGTAATACGCAGTAACACCTTTATATTAATGAAAATACAACGCAACAAAACAAAAAGGGCAGCTGCTGCAGGAGTCCCCAGGAAGCCCCCGCCCATCCCTATTTCCCTTCAGTCCTTCAGGTCCAGTGCCTGTTGCCAACAGACTGAGTGAGCGCACACACTGTGAGGACAGTGTGTCTTCACTCCAGTCCACTGCCAAGGGAACGGCCATCTCTACTTTCCTTCCAGGTCAACCAGGTCGCCCGGCACCCAGGAAGCAGCTCCGGGCTAGCTGACTGGAGTAGAGGGGTTCCAGAGGCAGGGACCCCACTTCCCCCAAGTCTTTTCCTCATAGCATTTGGTGAATGGCCCCTCTGGGAGCCAGTTCACTGAAGCAAAGGAACCACCTCATCCCCAGTCCACCCTCACCCAGGTTATCAGCACCATTCTGCCCTGGGCAGTCTAAGAAGAACCTCCAAGAACAGCTCTCTCTGGCGGGTGGAGCCCACAGAGTCCTCAACCTTGCTAGCGTCTGGCCTCCCTGTGAGACTTCCCCAACCCAGAGTCCATGTTCTGTAGATGCACTGCGTTCATTTTCCACTGTGTTGCTAGGTGGGGCAGAGGGGCCCTCAGGAGAGAGAAAAGAAGGTTCCTGGCTTAGCTCACCTGGCCAGTGCCCAGCCTCTTGGTCTCAACCCAGCTGGGCTGTTTCTCTCTGTGAGGGCAGAGCCCACCAGGCTCTGGGGAGCTTCCTCCGGCAGCCAGATTGTGTGAGTGTGTGTGTGTGTGTGTGTGTGTGTGTGTGTGTGTGTGTGTGTGAGAGAGAGAGAGAGAGAGAGAGAGAGAGAGAGAGAGAGAGAGAGAGAGAGAGAGAGAGAGAGAGACATGTCTGTCTGTATTGCAGTTTTCCTGTAGCTGGTATGGTAGGGGTGCTGGGTGCAGTTCACAGGAAGGTGGTTGATTTCTCCAGTGCCTACTAAGGTTTGCTTCGACTTGGGATGAGGCAGGAAGGAATCTTCCTGGATGTCTTTGCTTTCTGAGCCAGGGCCAAGTGGCTAGGGGTGGGCCCACACCGCACTCCCCCACTCCACCCAGTATCTAGAGAGACGGGCTACCTTATGGCTGTTTCCATAATCCTGGTGGAAACTCAGTTAGTTGCACTAGGAATATTCCTGACTGACTGACTGGTATCTGTACACGCCCTGTCCGAGCATGGGCACTGTTGCTTTCACGTACAGAATGCAGACAGGGGACAGTATGCCACATGGCCTATGATGGAAACTGGGGCTTTGAAAAGATGGCTTGTAGGTGAGAACCTCTTGCCAGTAGAAGAGGGAATTCTTGAAGGGCGTGTATTAAGGTGAGTTATTTGACTCTCATGAGCCAGGAGGCCCCTGGACTGCTCCAGTTGCAGCTGGACCTCACTGCAGTGAGTGAGGCTGGACGGGGAACCAGTGAGAAGGAGGTTTGCCTGGCAGAGAGAGATCGAAACCATTCATCTTCTGCTGGCACATTCAATGCAAGGAGGTGTGCCCGCGGTCAATGCCAGGATCAGGACTCGCTAAGGCCCCCAGCTGGTCCTGGCATGCTCTTGTCCCTGAATGCTGAGGGCTTGAAAGTTGTGTGCTACATTTGGATCAGTTCCTTCTGTTAGGGCTGCCTTCCTACCCTGCACCCCAGAACCTGGTGGACATTTACGGGGTGTGCCGAGTTTGCCTGAGCCTGAATCACCAGGTCCCACTCCTAGTTCCAGGAGACACTGCTTCCTTGCTGAGGGACTTCAAGACTTCCCTAGGAGGCTGGGGGGGGATGTGATTAGGGAAGTGGACATCTCTCCTGCCCAACGTTGCAATTTTATCAAAAATGTAGTTTTTCTCCAACAGCATATCTCCTGCTTAGACAGCTAGCTCAGCTCCTTCCCCAGTGGATGGAGTGAAGTTCCATTGCAGGTGCCCATAGGATCCTGTCCATTATGGCCCCATGTGGCAGGTGACTCCCCTGTGGCTTTGTAAGGAATTCTGATGAGGACACATTTGCTGTTGAGGGGTTCAGAGATACCCTGTGGTCAGCATGCTACCTCAGCCCAAGGTACCAGATAGTAACTGGAATAAAATGGTCTCACAACGATTGTCTCGTCCTGGGTCTAACTATGCATTTTGAAAGGGCTGAGGAGAATGGGGGACCTGAGCACCCTGAGACCTTGACTGGGCTAGAATTCCCACCTGGAACTCAGCACTCAGCATGTAGGAAGTGTAGGATTAGAGGAAGATCCATTGTGTATACAGGACAGGAGTCAAAGAGTTCATCCCTGCTGGGGGAATCTGGGCTGCTGTGCTAGGATCTGCAAAGTGCCACTGGCTTTCCGTGGGGGGAGGGCAGGCAGAGATTTATCCTGAGAGCAATACAACAGCAACAGAAGCCAGGGCATCAAAGTCAGGCGAAGGCACAGAGGAGAGGATGAGGGAGACATAGGTCTGCTTGTTTTGTCTGGGTGCAGCCTGTATCCTGTGTAGCTGCTGACTAGTGTCCAAAGCCTTCGGAAACTCCAAGTTCATTGAAATGTATTATAGTCTCTCCCAGACACAGCTGGCTTTACTCATGGCAAAACAGTTCAGGGTACCCCAACACAGAGAGAGTGCCCAGGCTCCAAACTGTGAAGGACCGACTGATGTGGGAGACTGGCCTAGAGTCAAGGACCAGTGCTCCTTCCACATCCTCAGGGCTGGAGAACTGAGAGCAACAGGAGAGGGAAAGAAAGGAGGTGCTCCATGGAGCACTGACACCGCGTCTCTATAATGGAAAGCAGCTCTTTGGACTAGCATGGGGGTGAGAAAACATGAGAAACACACACACACACACACACACACACACACACACACACACACACACGGACTCTCCCAGGTCCCTGGTGCCTTCTAGGCTGTCTGGCACCACCCAAGCTCAGTGTGGCCTGGTGGCTGTGGGGTGCCTGCTCCCAGATGAAGCAGAGAGGAAGACAGGTCCAGAGTCCCCTGTCCTGTGTTAAGACTAAGAGTGAAGTGACCCCTTCAAACTTGGAATGTTGTCTTCCAATTAAGCTCAAAAGCACACCAAATAAACTACCACTCTTCACACAGAGCAGGGCCCACCTGTAGGTAGGAGCAGTCAGCTTAGAGACAATGGAGATGGGTCACCCTGGCGGTCTAGACTGTCCAAGCAACTTCCCCTGGGATCCCATAAGGAGGCTACAGATGGACCAGGGGGAGGCAGGAGAAAGCACTCAGCCTTGCTGGAAGAGCCAGAGCATTTTTTTTCCTCCACAGAATTTGTACACAGATCCTGCTGTCTGTCCTAAGTGCCAGTGAGGGCAGTGGACACACAGCCTCACTGGTTGGTTGGGAGGGAGAGAGAGAGAGAGAGAGAGAGAGAGAGAGAGAGAGAGAGAGAGAGAGAGAGAGAGAGAGAGTCCCACAGTCTTGCCTTCTCCTGTCAGCCTGCAGGGCCTCCCTGTCAGGAGGAGAGTAAAATTTAGGACCATAGACACGGAAGGTGGCTTCAGTCTGCCCCACCCACCTACCCCAGGGCAGCCTTCCCAGGACCCTAGCCAGCTTTAGGAGGGAAGTGCCCACTCACTCAGGCCAGCCACCAGGAGAGTCTCTGCCCAGCGACCACACAGTAGCGAGTCCGTCCAGAAAACGTCCCTTTTTATTCCATATGCAAAGAAGTAGATTCATCACAGAAAAAAAAAAGTCTTCGCCAAGCCAAGAGAACCAAGGCCGCCCAAGAGAGAAGCTCTCTTCGGAAGAGAGGCCCAAATGGGATGTCCCAAGGCCTTGGCTCTCTGCGCTGTCTCTTGGAAGGGGACCCTGCTGTCTAAGTTCCTGTGGGATCCCGAGAAGGAGACAGTTTTAGTTAGGGCCAGGATGCCTCAGGGACAGTCACTGTGCAGTTCCTTGGCCAGCCCGTTCCAAGCGTCCATTTGCTGCCGAGGAGCCCGCATCTTCTCAGCACTCGGTGCGGGCGAGAGCCGTTGCATCGCCGCTTTCTTTCGAGCAGGGCTCCAGCCCTGCAGCTGACTGCGAGTCCTCGCTGCCGCGGTCCGGTACACTCTGGAGCGGCTGCCCACAGAGACCGCAGCCCGAGGGACTGCGAGGAGGCGCGCCTGCATTAAGGACGCGGGCTCACACCAGTCCCGGCATCTGCGCGCGCAGGAAGGGCACCGAGGCGGCGGCAGGGAAGGCTGCCAGCGGGTAAGCCAGCGCGCCCGAGAAACCGAGCAGCGGTGGCGGCGGCGCAGGTGCGGGCGGCGCCAGCGGGAAGGGCAGCGCGGGCCCCGTGGCGGCCGGCGGACTCTCGTGGTAGAGCACAGGCACGCGAACCAGACGCTGCGCGCCCGGCGGGGACAAACTGGCCGCTTCCAGCTCTGCCGCCAGCTGCCGCTTCCACTTGTTGCGACGATTCTGGAACCAGATCTTGACCTGCGTCTCCGTGAGCTGCAGCGAGGCGGCGAGGCCTGCGCGTTCCGCGCTGCTCAGGTAGCGCTTCAGGTCGAAAGTGGACTCGAGCTGGAAGACCTGGCTGCGCGAGAAGACCGTGCGCGTCTTCTTCTTGCGGCCGCCGCGTGCCTCCCCAACCGCAGCCGCAGCTACCGCCGGGGCCTCGGCTAGCTCCGCAGCCTCCTCCCCTCCGGCCACTGGGCCCTGCGTCGTCTCCTCCCGCGGCAAGGCTCCTGGCCCGGGGCATAGCGGCCAAGAGCTCTCTGCGCGGCCCATCTCCTCGCCGGTCTCCGGAGAGTCCCGGTCACTTGCTGCAGGAGAGAAATGGGCATAGGTTCTAAGGGTATGCCTAGAAGGAGTTATTGAGACTGGATTCCTCCCACCTTCAAATCCTCCACAGTCACAATGCCACAAGCTGGGAAGCATTCCCTTCGCAGGGGTTGGGGCATCTAACACTTGGGGGTGGAGGGAGTGGCAGAGGCAGAAGGTGAAGTCCAAGACCCAGGGCCATGGCAAACACAAGTCAGCATACGCCCAGAGGAGGTCAGAGAGGGAGAGAAAGAGAGAAAGACAAAGGCTAACGCAAAAGGCAAGCCGACCTTTGCGAGCTCCTGGTTCAGCTGTACCCCAGGCCTCCCACAATCGCACGAAGGACTGGCTCGGGACAAAAGGGCACATGTCCTTCCGAGTTATGTACACAGAGACTGACACACAACCTGGTAACCAGGGGCCAAGGCTTCCCCATCACTCACGGTGGGGAGGGGGTACACAGACACCAGGGAAACAGCTCTTAGGAGAAACACACACCCCCAAAACTCCACTGGGGTGACAGTGGCACAACCCTGAACCAGACATTCTCAGAGGAGGCCCTCTGCCGCAGGAAACCCACTCCAGGAGGGCACGGAGGAAGGCTATTCTGGGGACCACACTATCCCACCCTGCCCCAAGCATCTCCCACACTTGCTCGGGGGCTCCTTTCCCAGAGAATCTCTGGACTCATGCCCCATGTACCAAGCTCCAGGCTGGCAAGGGATGTCACCAGGTTTAAAAAGTTCATGGGGTCCCTGGTGCTCCTTCTGACTAATAGGTCAAGGAGGGTTCTGGCCCAGGTTATACTTCAGCATGGTGGGCTCCTGTGCATGGCTAAATTCTGCCTGGTGTCCTTGGAAGAAGTATGCTGATCTCACTTGCGCCCCTGCCCAGCCTCTATGTTCAGTGTCCTCTACAAAGTCACAGAGTTGGATGGCATGTATGCAGCCAGACCTAGGGGCTTACAAGACCCCCTAAGTCCCTATATTCACAGAGGCCTGCATATTGTCACGAAGTGCTAATCTGACTCACCTGCTCTGACAGGAATAGGGAACTCTAACCCGCATGGTACGAACTAAGGAGGAGCCACCTCTGGGGGCTGACCACTGGGCTGCAGATGACCATGGTCTAACTAGAAGGGAGATTAAAACGCATCCTGCAAGAGTCTCATCATTGGATTTCAGAACATCACAGGCCCTGTTTAGATGTTTCTGTAAAGAAGGCAGACATCCCATGTCTGGGTCTGGGCCGGGAGACCTGTCCTTCCACTCCATGTCAGGAAGGTGCTGCTAACGGGAAAAGAGTGGCCCCAGGCCATGTACCTCCCCAAGGCTCCTGGCCTACACACAGATGGCTCCCAGAGTCTCAGTAGGAAAAGTCTTTAGCCATGTAGAAGTCCCTGTGTTTAGAGGCAGGTTGGCAAAGGGGCTAGAGTGGGGGAGGTTGAAATATGTTTCCTAGTCTTCTCCAGGGTTGTTCTCCAAAGGGCAGGCCCTAAGAGAGGTAAGGACCCTCTGGAGACAGACAGAGGCAGAGTTAGGATGTCCAGGCCAGAGGGGTAAGTGGGTTCTGTGACTGAGGAGCCTCCACCCCCCATTCTCTGAGCCCTCTACAGGAAACAAAGGCCAAGGAGGGGGAGGGGCAAGAAATGAGAGAGGGGGTGGAAAGGACCCTTCAGAATGGGGTTCCACCAGCCTTAGCCCTGGGGCCTGGGAAGACCCAAAGAGAGGCCCAGGCCTAGACTGTACTCTTACTGCAGCCTGTAGAGCACATGATACTTAGGGGGCCACAGTTGCCATGGAAGGTCTCCCAACCAGCCCCATAACTGTGGATCCTCTGCTCAGTCTCCCTTTTATTTTAGTGCGTGGCCCCACAGCCTCCCCTCCTCTGCTCCCTTCCTCTCCCATCGTTTCCCTTTCATCTCTCTCAATACACCCCATTTCCCTCTCCTGTCTTCCCGCGGCCTATTTCACTCTCCTCTCTCCTGTCTGCAATTTCGCGTTTTCCAGCCCTAATCGGCGCCTTAGTACCTCTACGCGTGGACCACCATCCCTGGTCTCCAAAAACTGCCCGAGCTGGCGTTCCAAGGTGGTTTCATACCACCCAGACCCCAGTATACAGAAGACTACAGACTCACCAAACCCGAAGTCACCAAAAGAACACACAGGGAGGAAGCAGGGCCCTGCGCATTGCCCACTCCTTCCGGCACCCTCACTTACTGTCAGGACTCAGACCACCTCCGTAGCCGCCGTGGGGCCGTGGGTACCACCGCGTCGTGCCTCCGCAGCCAAGCGCGAAGGGCGGTCCGGGCCCGGGAGGCGGCCGGGGCCCTAGGCCCAGCGCCCGGGCCCTTGCTTCGCCGCCCCGCCCGCTGCCCGAGCGTAGTTGTCGCCGCCTCTGCAGCCGTCGCCGCCGTGCCTGCTCTGGATCCTCGTCCTCGGGGTCGTCGTCTTCCTCCTCCTCGCGGACGCCATCGCCCTGGACTGAGCGCCCCGCGCCCTTGGCCTCGGCTGCCAGCAGGTTCTCGATGAGGAAGGAGGAGGCGCGGGCTGGCGTGGCGCGCCCGGGTTCCGTCAGCTCATCCGGCATCGCGGCCGCGGGCCCGTCGGGCAATGGTGGGATCCTGGGCGTCCCAGGTGCCCTGGGGCGCAGCCGCTTCTCGACCTCGCCGGGATTGTGGCGAGCAGCTGCCCAGAGTACGCGCGGGCCGGCCTGGAGAGCCGCTGCCCGGATCGCGGGCGTCGGGCTCCACGAGGCGGGCGTCGGCTTCTGTGCCGCGATGGGCTGGGCAGGAGTGGGTGCGTGCGGCAGCGTTCCCGCAGCTGCCTCGCTTGCCTTTCTCGTAGCGGTTCAGGTCGCCGCCCCGGCCGGCCTCACGGGGGGCGGAGAGGGGCGGGGCAGGGGCGGGGCGGCGCGGGCTCTGTTGGCACAGCCCCAAGGACCCGCCGCGTCCCCGAGAGAAGCCACAGCCAGAGACGCCTCCCGGCCGGACCCTGCGCACACGCCGCAGCGCGGCCCAGGGAAGGCGTCTCGGTGGTCGAGCGGGGACGACCCTGCGTGATGCATTCCGGAGGTCCTCCGCACCCGCGCCAGGGGGTGGAGAAGGGCGGGTCCTCGGCTGGGAGGCCGACCATTGGCTACAGGGTCGCTGTGAGGCCCAAGTTGGCCAATCCTGTCGGAGGAGAGCCAGTACTCACCCGCCGGGAGCGTGTCGGAACCCGCAGAACGCGCGCGGTTTGTGCGTGAGTCCGTGTGACTGTGCATTCCCTCGCGTGTAAGAGCTGCAGCCGATTGGACCGCAATCTCACTTTTTAAAAGACCCCGTGCGTGTAATTAAAAAAAGGAACTCTCCCAAAGTAAGGTTGTAGAAATGCGACATATTTTAACACTGACGTGTAACGAAATACGCTTTCCGTGCCACTGTGGTGCGATGGAATGCTCTGTGTGTAAAGAGACCCAAACCCGAAGGACCTGGCTCCTGCCTCCTGGTGTCACGCTGGCTGGGAGCCTGTTACCTTCGCCTGGCACCTCCATTCCAGGCTTGATCTTTTTCAGGCCAGCCCCTGTGGAGGTCTAAAGGTCGTGAGGGACAGTTCCTCCTCTTGCCTCTGTTTCTTGCCCTGCCCAGCGTGAGTTGTCTTCTCCCACTTCAGGAGAAAGGCAGCAGAGGGTAATCCAGACTTCGCTGAGGCCCGCGGAGCTGTGACCCACTTTCGACGCAAGCAGGGGACAGCCGAGTCACTGAGGGGAGCGCTTCACTGGACACGGGTTATCACGGAAAGGCGCACCCAGCCGTTCAGTGCGGGTTCACAGCCAGTGCCTAACAAAGTGCGTTCCACATTCCAGGAAGCAGATCGCAGAGCTTCCGCCTGCTTTACTCAATCTTCAAAACGAGCACTGTTTTCCAAAGGGGAAAACTGATAAGAGAGTCCCTCCCCTCCCATGGTAAGTGGCTTTCGAGGCATGGAGTCCAGAGCTTGCTCTGTATGGGAGGCAGGAGGCTGTGGAAACTTTGGGGCCTGCACCCCACAGTAGCCTCTGCTGCGGTGTGCCTGGGTCTGCCTTCTTGGCAGCTGCTGAGAAGGATCTCTGGCTGGAAACCTGGGTGGGAGGTGGGCTTTGTACACACTAGAACTAAATTTCGGGCCCATATTCTGCAAGGCAAGAAGGATCTGTGGCAAGCCACCACATCTCATGGAAGAGAGCTCTGGCCCAAAGTTAGGTATCTCTGAAAAGAATCCCTGTTCCGCGAATACGACTTTTTTTGGTGTCTGGGCTCAGAAAGACTCAGGACCTGGGTAGAGGGAAGGAGGGAGAAATTAGCACCCAAATTCGTTTGTAGGAGTCAGGCACAAACCCTGGGCCAATGGAAGTTGTTTTTAACGGATGAAGAGACTGGGACCAGAGTGGAGCACTGTTTAGAATGGCTGTGGGGAGAACCACCCAACGCCTGCAGTTTCAGGCTCCCCTGTGAGCAGTACCTTCCTCCCTGTAAAACCACAAGCCTGTTGGGTGGGTTGTGGCTTCCATTTCTCTGTGCACTGTCTGGGTGGGGGAGCCAGGCAAGGCTTCTTCGGAGTCTGGGTTGTAATTCCCTCTGCTCTAGGGTTGTGCGGCCCTCGCTCTGCCTGGCGCCTTACTGGTAAACCATGGACAAGTGCCACAAGTAGCTTCATGACCTTTGGGTGGAAACCTGCCTTGCTTGATACCTGAATGCTAAGGGAGCACAGTGCTGCTGACCCACCACTCCCTCTGGGGATGCGCATGAGATCGGTTCCTCACTGGTCTAGGGTTGAGGAACCCAGTGAGGGGCGTGGTTAGGAGTGGGGAAAGGGCACCTACCTCTCCTGCCATGGAAGCACTGCCGAGAATGACACCCATAGCAGCTGGCGCCTGGATCCTGCTGACTGCAAGAGGGCTGGTGGTTGCCACCCAGGAACAGGGTGTATATGTGTCAGGAACCAGAGTGTATGTGTCAGGAACGCCCAAGCTGGCCCAATGGGTGCTCACCCAAGTCCAGGGGCCCACAAACTCAGCCTACAGGGAGGAGAGCAGAGGAGTAATGCTTGACTCCCTGCCTCCCAAGGTCAGCTCTGATGCAGCCCAGCATATAGGCCAGAAAGGCAAGTTTGTCCCGGTTCAAGGCCAGTTTGGCAAAGGAAGTAAAGCTCCCAAGCACGATCCTGATCAGCAGCCTTGCCGGCACCCAATATCCCTGGTTTCTTTTACATTCCCTGCAGAATTCTAGGGCTGGAGTACTGTCCCTTCCCCAAGTCACACCCATTCATGTACACAGAGAGAGAGACAGACAGAGAGAGAGGACAGAGAGAGAGAGAGAGAGAGAGGAGAGAGACAGAGAGAGAGAGAGAGAGAGAGGGAGAGAGAGGAGAGAGAGAGAGAGAGGAGAGGGAGAGAGAGAGAGAGAGAGAGAGAGAGAGAGAGAGAGAGAGAGAGAGAGAGAGGGAGAGGGAGAGAGGGAGGGAGGGATGGAGAGTAGCTTGCCCAGGCTGTGGCTTCTCTGTCCATTTGGTCCTGGTGCCTTCCCCCCCCCCATCTCACCTCTCCTGTGTGCTGGGACCCAGCCAGGAAACCTGCCCAGAATCTGTTCACTAAAGACCTAAATCTGAGCGACCGGATCTGTGAGAGCTGGCAGCTGCAGGGCCACTGCCCATTTCCCCTCAGCAAACTTTGTCATTTGGAAAAAGTTTACAAAGATGCCCACTTTAAATTTAAATTTTTACTTTATTTTTGCTTCCTTCACCCCTCACCCAACCTTATTTCTTCTCACACCACTCCCTACACAACACAGATGTCTGCTCTTGGGTTTTGATTGACAAAAACCAATACTCCATGTACACTTTCTCAGCTTCTTATTTTCAAAGCCAATCACCTGGGGGGATTGAATCCAGGACCCCTTCGGATGTCAAAATCTTCAGGTGTCCAATTAGCTCCAGCCTTGAGTTCCAGGTAATGCTCCTCCCCCCACCCCTGCCCCACCCCCCCAGTGCTTGACATTGCCGGCCTACACCACCACCTCTGGTTACTTCCTAAAGGAAAGTGCATGAGCATAGGCACCACATCCTCCTGTGTGCTTCAGATGTCTCTAGATGGCTGATAGACCTGGTGAGATGTGGGTGCTGTGGAATCTCTGCTTGGCAGCATTTGGAGATCGTGACGAAAGGCCCCGTGCCTGACACAGGACAGACGTAAGTTTTCTTTCCAATTACCATTTTTGTCATTCTGGGAATAAGATCCGTTTGAAGATATTTTTGCCCCACCCAGGCAGACACATTTTTCTCTCAGTGTCCAGAGGGATTTTTGCAAGACCTCTTTACTGAGGACCTCAGAGTGCGGGGCAGAATCTAGCCTGGGAATCACATCCATTGCTCTGTGGAGGAGCAGCGGTCCCAAGGGAGTTCAAGGGTCAGCAGAGGCAGTTGGAGAGGCACTCTTGTTAGATAGTAAGGTGGGAGATGCTGTAGTCAGGCTGGAGCAGTCACTCCCTTTCCTGCAGTGGCCGTGCCTCTTGCCAGACTTAGGTGCCTCCCTCTCTGCCACTGTAGATACTGGGATGGGCAGAACACTAGCGCTTCAAAGTCGCTGCAGACAGACAGCTGTGTACTCCCCAGCACTGGTTTCATCTCACCTTCCTGGTTGCTCAGGTAAGAGTTCTCTGCCCGCTGACTCAAAGAGAAGGGAAGCCCGGGGCTGAATGACTTAGGAAGCTAGAGTCTGGTCCTGGAAGAACAGCTGCTAGATAGAGGGGCCAACGGGTCCTTGGCCAGATAAACAGTATGTTCTTAATTTGGAAGGCAGTGGGGGAGTCAATGGAGGTTGCTAAGCTAGAGATATAAAACTATTAAAACTGGAAGCTTAATCTGAAAGCCAAAGTGACCAAAGGAGGTGCTGCCCACTATCCCTAGCACTCGCAGTGAGGGACCGCTTCCCTTCCTGGACTGCTGGTACTCACTCCCTAGTGTAGCAGGCTTTAGTTGTAGACACACCTACAGCAGCAGTGGTCCAGCTATGACTTCTCTCTTGGCTCATGGTAGCCAGCAGTCAGATCTCGTTGACAGCCACACAGCCTCTTCCATGTCACTGACAGCAGGAAACAGCCCCATTCTCAGAGTTGCCTGATTTGAACCAGGCTCCTGTGTCCTGGGTCACCGCTGGTCACCCCAGCATCTTCAACTGCAAAGGGGACTAAAGACACTCACCATCCAGTGAGTAGGACTGTGGGTAGTCCATGCAGTGGACAAACCTTTGTTGTATATCAAAAACAATCTCGTTGAAAAAGATGCAATGTTGGGGAAAGGTTTTATTTTTATTTTGTATTTTTTTTGAGACCAAGTCTCACATAATCCAGGCTAGCCCCAAATTCACTATGTAACTGAGGATGATCTTGTTCTGATGGACACCCCAATCCCCCACACGTTTCTGCTTCCCAAGTGCTGAGGTTATAGTCCAGTTCTAGGTGCTAGGAATCAACTCCCTTCCTGTGTGTTAGGCAAGTCCTCCACAAGCTGAGCACTTGGCTGCATTTAAGAGACTAGTCACTTCTGACACTGTGAAAATCTCCCTTTAAAACTGGAA